ATCTGCCGAAACACATGCAAATATACTTCGCACGCCGATTTTCCGTTGGAACTCTCCCCCTCAACAAGGATTACACAAGGACTTGACTGTACTGCCAGTCATTTTCAGTCGATTTGGAGAGGATTAACCAAGAGACCATTTTCAATATTCCTCTCATGGATACTTACGTCTAAAATAATTGCCTGCGAACTTTTTTCCAGAGTATCGGACCCCAGAACCCCCGAGTTGATCTGTTTTAGCAAAGTACATGACCATCACTACGCATTGGACTTTCCACATCATGCGAGATTTAGTCGCCGCGTTTACTTCAAAGTACAAACTTCCTCTGATCTTCATGGAGGAGTCGTCAGACAGGGGAGACATCATTTATGCAACATTTTGTTTAATTATTTGGATTTACTCAGGAAAATTGGTGTAATTTTCTAGTGAGATAAATCTACAAGTTCCTTCTAGGTCTTCCATGGCATGCACCGCAATCAATCACCGTGGAGCGCACCCAGGAAATACAGACAGTCTGTTGATGGCCAGTTCTGCTTCCTTAAAACTTACCCTGCGAGTCTTTCAAACTAGGGCTTTGAACGAATGACAGGAGAACAAGAAAACCCACAAAACCCACCGCGACTCCAGGTTCCCAATTTAGACCTGCCTGCTATGACAGTGCGAAAGGTAAATGTTATCACGGCTGCAATTTTTTATGCACAAGAGCGGTGAGCAAAACATACGTACGTCGGAGTTATTCAGGGTTATGTCGGCAAGATGCCGGCGGGCTTGGCACACCAACAGCTCTAATTGCTTTTCCGGCTTCTATGAGCCAGGACAACCAATATTAGACTTTCAGGAAGATTGTGCCTGAGAGGAGACAGGCGCATTCGTCAACCAAATCAGGAGAGGGCGACTCAGCCATCAACACCTCCACTAGTCGCCCAGGAGTGAGGAGGATCGGTAAGGCCTCGCAGTACTAATCGTCTCAGGCGATGACTCTAAGCGAGTAACCACCACGACGTTCGCTCAATCAAACCGTCCACTCCCCCCCCCCCGTATCAGATTTGGCGCGGCAGTAGATGATGTCCAAATCCCACGTTAGAGGAATGGTCGAGCTCCTGCTGACGTGCGTTTATCCCCAATTCGGGATGTAAGCCGTGTATGGAAATTTGATAAATCTTCATCTGCCGTGGGTACCATGATCCCCGCACAGCAGATGGGTTCCCGTGCGTCGTAAGGCCTGCGACGGCCGGACAGAAACGGTGCGAGCAGACGCTAAAGTTTCATGGGACACCACCCCCATCCACGCCACTTAAGACAGAGAAAAATCCTGTCCCATAGGGAAGCAACAGAGGTTAGGGGGATGACGAAGAGGTAACTCAGCCTGCCTGGCAAGCCGAAAACCTACACGCATCCGTGCACGCGTGCACGTTCATCAACACACGTAGGCACAACGGCCCACCTCAAAGCGTCAACGCCCACACGGGCAAGTTTGGAGGGGGAGAAGGAGGGAGGAATGGACGGCTAAGCGATCATGAAGAAGAGCGAATCGAAAGTAGCGGTGGACACTTAGATCTTGAGGAATGGAGCGAAATAAAAACGTGGCAACTTGCACTGTGCGCGCGCATACCAAGTTTACTTCGTAAAAAATCTTGTCGGAATCTGAGATTACGACGGAGTTTAGAATCGCTCACCTTTAAACAGCTGCCTAAAGCCTTTGACAAATGGATAGGAACTTTGCTATCATTGCCTTTTTTGGGGAAGCCAAGCAACCTTCCGTTTATTGGCCTTTAACTAACGAATATTATTTAACTATGAGGACGGATTTTCAGAGCGAAACACGGATTTCTCAGGTCATCCGTCCCGTTCTTGAAGCACTTTCAGTGCCGTATAAAACACAATGGAACCTTGTCCAACTTTTTCAAAGGGCTCTGTGCAAAGAACAACAAAGTCTGCTTTTGGAAATGGGTGACTTCTAATCTGAAGTTAGGATGTTCAGTTGCATTGTTTTCAGTTGCATTTGTTTTCAGCTGAAGGAATGCAAAAAATCCAAGTGTATAACTGGCTTATATGACCACTTGAACATGGCATGGGGTAAGAATGCCCCACCCAAGTAATAAAAGTGGACCTGGCATAGTTCCGGAAGGGACAAAATATTCCCGTGTCCTAACCCCAAAAATAACCGTAATATAAGACTAATATAAGACTAATCTTGGCCCTAGCCTTAATCTAAGCCTTAACTCTGTAGTAAACACTAGCACCTACCTTAACTCTAAACCTGGTTCTGAGTCACCTTACCGTCAACTTTAAATCTAGCCCTGAACCTAATCCCTAGCCTAACCCTAGCCTAACCCTAACCTCAAACCTGGCCCTAACTTTACCGGAAGTTGGCTCGAAGACACCCGTATTGCAGGTGGTTTCTGTTTTCATGTTCTGCTTAGGGGACCATAGAGGTCAGTCCTACCAGGCCTAAGACTGAGATCCTAAGTGATTAGCTTGTCTAATTTAATATAAAAGTGCGACCAACCAACTTTTGAATTCCTGGCTCTGTTACTTTTTGAATGACCGTTTGGCTCACTTTAAAGCAAAATCTTGAAATAAGTGTAATTTTTGCGTTCTATTAAGCGCACACCCTCGCCACCTCCCGGTAGGCATCAATTAGGGGCTCAGGAAGAGAGACCTGTTTTGAGTGCTTCGTAAAGTTGCTCTCCTGTAAAAAGTATGCACAATGACAATAAAGACTGACACTCAGGTGAACTCGAGGCGTGTCCCTGACCAAGCCCTCAATGTATAGGTTATTAACGCTATTTAAACTCCGCGTACACATTAAACTCGCATACTTTTTTCCCCAGTCAGTGTGACACACCTCGGCAGCCGACTCGCAGTGCCAGCCCCCCCCCCGGGCGCCAGCCGGCGGGGTAACGACAGGGAAGTCCCTAAGGTGTGCGAGTGTTCACCTCCGCCACTGAGACCAACAGGACCACCCTGTAAAATCTCTTTCGTCTTGTTGTCCAGCCATGCCCTAACTTATGGTTCATTAGTTCTGGCTTTGTTAATATGCTTGATAAATTTCCACATACGAGTATCTTGGTGCAAGGAGGCCGACCTATTTCCACTCACCTGGCTAATGATTAATTTAGTCCAGGGCTCGAGGTGTCGCCTCTCCCCCTCGTATTCAAGGACTAGTTTGGGATAAACTAACCTGCTAGCGTACTAACCAAGCGTACTGACTGTTCTTCTGTCTCGCCTCTTCTTCTGCTTTTCGACAGGCTAGAGAGAATAAGAGAAGGGCTTTGCTCGAACCAACTGAAAGACGCGCCTTCCAAAACAGCGACAGCTCCCTTGTTCGTTAGCAGGCTAATTCGGGGACTCCGTGACTGATGCCGCCCGCGTTTGTACATAATTAAAAGGTGCGGCCCGCCGCGACGGCCGACCCAATAACAAAAGCAGGAAATAGAGGGACAATAAAGAACGTGGGCCACATTGAAGGGAGATGAGAAATGAGACCAGACGTTGGCTCTCAGGGAAAAGCTGGAGGTTACCGACGACGGATCTCCGAGTCCCATCAGCTAGAGGAGCCTCACAGGTGTAAATATGGCATCCGCTGGGCTGCTAGGTCTTCTGAAGGGTAGAGGGTTGCCGTACGCTCGACGTTAGAGGACTCTTAACTAAAGTTGATAATACCCTGCATGGTTAATAAGCGCTCTTCAGCAGCTATATCTCTCCTCGGTCAGGCATATGCTCCTGTGAGCACGTTGCCCGTGCCGGAGGGCAATGCAAAAGACGCTGGCCAGGCACCCGCAACTATAAAATTTATGCGACTTCTGAAAGACATTGAAATGTTGACCGTCAGAGGAAGAACCTATTGTTAGAACATGCTGCGTTTAAGGTGCAATGGATGGTTCTTGCGCACAGAATGTGTGACGTAACATAACAAACGAGAAAAAAATTCGTTTCGCCTTGTGGAGACCGGGGAACTGAAATCGTCAAATCGTTTACCAGAGTATTTATCAAAGTACCACACTAGATGCCCACTCAGCGCTCTTTATTTTAACGAAACACTCATGTTATCGTCTATGGCATACGATTATTGCGGTCCAACATGGTGCCTTACCACCCAAAACAAGGAGATACCGGACTCTTCGGAACTTATCTGGCAGATCGGCTGTCACACTCATCGACATCTCCCAGTATTCCGTGCAACAGTTTTGACTTGCTAGCGAATTGAATTAAATGTGAAAGACCATCGTCAAATGGATCTCTCTCTTTCGTCCAAACCCATCGTGATTCATTCACACGACTGAGCCATGTCGACTGAGGACGGTCATAGACGCAGTAGCCGACTTGATTGGAGATCTTGCACCACTGCGCACGCCCCTAAACGACCAGTCCATCACCTATAACTGAAGCGTTCTTCACCGACGTGAAACAAATATGTCGGCTGTCCTCATCTTACTTCGATCACCAGGCGCAGTGGCTAATGATGATGTATTTGCTTAGCAGCGGCCTTCTGTGGAACTATAGGTGGGAAACTGGACACGAAAGGGAGTTAGGACAGAATTGTCGCCATGGGAACTCCAAACATCGGACTTTTAATTGCAGAGAGCCAAGACATATGGGTAGGGCTACAATGAGCTCGAATCCATCCATCTATGCTGGAAGCAAGCTTGCCCCTATCTAATTGGGGGGCTTCTCGTCAGCCTCCTTCCATGAAGGTTCCTCATAAAGAAACCTCAACATGCAAGCGTTTCGTGTAATCTAACTTGCCTCATTATCTTCATAGCATATTCTCTCACATCTGGGAAGTTTAGTTGCATCTCTATCCAGACATGCGTTAATCTCTTCAGATAGCAATACCTCTACAGAGTGCTCTGGAAGAGTCTAACCTTTCTGAAATTGAAATAACTAGAGCTGCCCCGCGGATATCCGAACACCACCTTACCGTCGTGTACGCGTTTGTGACTATCAGGTTTATCGCCCTACCCTTCTGGGCAGAACTTCTTGGCGACTGTTCAAAAAAGACAATCGTTTGGTGCTGTAGTTCCGACGGAGATTCACGGCAATCCTTGGACTTTAACGAAAAACAAACAGACATTTTAGTTATCGTACTTTCTGAATGAATATAAACAGTCGGCTGCGTGAATCAGTGCTTCGAAGTGCGGTTTCATGGCAATTATCCTGTTGCCTAAATTTAACTAACTCATTCAGAATTCAGTACAAGGACGGTTCTACTCCCCAACATATGCCAGTTATTTGATTATTTATGTTACTTTAGACTTCTCCGGCCAATACAACTCAACTTCTCACTAGTCATAATCACTACTACTGTTACTACCATGACCACCACTGCCGCCGTCGTCGTCACAATGAAGAACAACAATAGCCACAACAACGAAGAAAACAATAATTTTGCCAACCTGGAATCAACAACAGCACTAACATTACCACCACTACGCACACACATTGTAATTATTTCGATGCCTTTAAAAGGCATTATTGTTTCGACAAAAGAGGATACAGCGACGTAACCACAGATGGGTCTACATAGCCTGTAAATTACTTTCTACCAGCAGATATCCCATATAACACCTCTCACTAACTGTAAACCTCGATAGTCAGCCTAATTCAACGTCCCGTAGTGGAAACCTGTAAAAAGTTCTTTCCTCTGAAAGCGAATAAGGTTGTCACTCATCTGACTGCTAGCAGCTCTGTCGGCACTCCATGTAACCCCAACTGGAAGCGAAGACAGGAAATATATCAATGAGGTGGAAATCGCCAGGCAGTAAAGTGGATGACATGTGCTTTTACTCATCGCGAATCACCTTTGCGCCCTGAGCCCTATTAAGTGAGGACCTGTCAGAGGTGGACACTCAGCAATCCGACTGTTGTATAACGGCAACGCCCAGCCCCTTCTTCTCTTCCGCCACTGACCCAGCCTGACGTACGTTAAGACCGGTCCGACCACACAATGTCGATATTAAAGCGGACTTACATGACGTTTGCGTAGAAGCAGCCGTTGTGGGAAGACCCCATATCGATTTCATATGATTATTTGTTCTCGACGGAATTGGTCTAAAGGGGTTTCGGGGTCCAGTCTGCTGATTATCGCGTTTTCTGAAGGGCTGACCCGATTGACCACCCTCAGGAGCCGCGTTGTTGAAGGGGAAGCGCTGAGGCGTCTGAGGCAGCGCGTTGTACAGCGGATCCCCTCCAAAAACAGATGGCAGACCGGATACAGAAGCGTGTTTATTCTGCCCCGATGACTCCGCATGCGCGATCTCCAGGGTCTGAAATAGAAGGCTCAAGCTTGAGACAAGGAAATTCAGACATGCGGAGTCGCCTCCTGATTCGAGCGCATGGGTTTCTAGAGATAATATCCAACAGAAACATTTATCGCATCCACTTACACCAGGAATTACAAGCAGTTTCTTTAAAAAAACGTAAGAATTGGTCTTGCTTACACGGCCAGTGTTGCACCAGGAGTCCTTGCAGCATCTTATGAGGGGCCCATTCTCGACTTCCTCGTGTGCAGCTCCTATGCAAATGCCAAGCTGCGAGGAAGCAACGCAACCCCGATTCACTGCCTCATAGTACTGCTTCGTCGGTCGCGATTTGGCGGTTTCCCAAACACTGCCATCCTCCGGGGCGTTCGCATCGAAAATTGAGTCAGGAGACAACGTTTCCACCGAAGGCCGGCCGTGTTGTTGCTGCCGTTGCGTCCTGTTGCCATGCCGGACCGCCCTGAAGGAAACGTAGCAGTAGAACTCGGCCCTGCACTCAGTTGCGCCTACGTCCTGGCAAGACTGGGAGTCGCAATAGCATCTGATGTCTCCTGGAAAGAGGACGGCAGAAGCCATAAATGAGTCCGGAAGCACACCACCTGGCTACCGGTGTGGAGCGGCAAGGACAAAGAAGCGCATTCAGGTTGAGAGTGGGAGTAGTGACACGGAGGCCTGGTTTTCGACTGTTACCGCTTATCCAGTTTGTGCTCGCATATGTGCAGGGAGACAGACTGAACTTCAAAGAGCCGACTCATAACTACCCACATCACCCAGCAGGTTTCCAGCACGGTGATGCAGGTGGAAACAAAGCGATGTTGGTGGTGGTGGCGGTGATGGTCCTGATGAGGGATAGAGGGCAGAGATTGTGCTGGCAGAGATGAGGTTTGACAGAAGCCTCCTCTATGACACAGTTAATTTTGGGCCGTTGGAGGGAATGCGTGATCTTTTCAACAGGTCATCTTTATAAGTACTAGTAACGCTTATCTTAGAACGGAGGTAGCTATTCATTTATTTTATCCCATGGTCCTTGCGATAACTGGCCGGGACAGTGCCTTCCCAGGTTGCCGCTCTTTTTGTGCAGTTAAATAGTATTCAGGATCCATAGTGTCAGCAACTTCGGTGTTTCTGAAAATAATTTGCTTTCATTAAATTTAAAGCAGGACTAAATGTTTTGGGAACTAGCATGGAATTGTAGGTTGTCTCTATAACACGGGAAAGCGGAGTGAACGATCAAATTTATCTTATGGGGTGAAAATATCATGACAGTATGTGTGGGATTTTATAGAAAAGTCCATAAAAGGAAAGTCCATAAAACTACAATGTTAAAAACATTGACTGCGCAGTACCACCGAACCGTTGGGTTCTTTTATTAGCGTGAACGTTCTCATTCGAAAACATGGGCCTGCAACACTCGCCGGTGGACTGAAGTCAGTAAGACTGCAAATCAGGCAAAGTGCCGCGTGAAAGATGCAGCTTTTGTATGTCTTAAGACAACTCCGCAGCTCAGAAATGCACTAAACCTCTATAGATAGCATATTTGCATGCGCATGGTTAGAGGCGTGGACGTCTAACTAACAGGTCGCGAGCTCGAGAATAGGGTGTTCCACACTTCGGGGTCGGGTATGACTGGCTGACGACGTCTAATAAGCCAAAAATGACCATTCCAGTCTCCCTTGTCTTTGTCGGTAATAACATTCTGCCTATATCATGCGCCGCTGTGCGGCTGCTTGTTGGGCTCGAGAGGGAGCCCGTAAGGCACAACAGAACGACTGAGTTCCGTACGAACGATCGGTGAGCGCCCCCCGTACCATTGTATATATATATATGTTTGTGTGTGTGCTTTCACAATGAAGACAAGTTTTTCAGGTGTCTGTCGCTGGTTATTCGTATCTGCCAATTTTGGGGCCTGATTTTCTATCCAAAACCGGAACAAGTAACAACAAATTTCTAACGAGCAAGTCAGTCAGATTGAGACTGGTACAATGTGTTCATGTTAATTGCTTCGGATAACGGTAGTTCACTACCAGGCAATCGGTCCGTCGACAATCCAAATAGCTGACAATGAACTCAAAAATAAATGCGCACTGACTGCCTGGTTACTTTTGGACCACCCTGTATTTGCATACGGACAGAGTCGAAAATTTACGAAAAACTTTCGTCGGTTTTTATTAAATTCCCTATATATATGCATATAGGCAGAATGTTATTACCAACAAACACAAGGAAGACTGGAATGGCCATTTCTGGCCGGTTATACCCAACCTCCATTTTTGGAACATCTGGGGCTCGATCGCGAGACCTGTTAGTTAGAAGTCCAACGCCTCTAACCACTGAGCCACGGCTTCGTTGTTCTGTCGGTTGCGATCGGGAATGTACAGTGGTATAGGGACGCTCAGCGATCACTTTTACGGAACTCACTCTTCCCGTTGTGCATATATACAGGATGTTTAGAATCTGCATGCCTCTGGACGGAGGTCGGCATTTGGACATTGGCGGCCCTTGCTCGTATCGGCACTAACCTTAGCTGTCACCCTGGACTCTTAGTCTTGTTTACCCCTCTTTAGTTAGCTTCTTCCTCGTCTGTCGGTGTAAAGACTAGTGGGGTAGTATTGACATCTGCGCCATCCGTCAGATCAGATTTGTGATGCGACTACATGCGTGTCTGGCGTAGGCTCGGTCGTATTTACCCTACGTTCACGTCTGCCCCTTTGTTCATTTATCTGCATCTGAAGGGCTTAGTAAGCTGCAGGAAAGGTCGCGCAGCGGTTGATGGAGGTCGTCCCCGTTTGCTCGGCCTCCATAGTTTCTCTGCCTGGAGAGATCCGTCTTCCTGCTTCGATACTTGGACAGCGTAGAGAGGGGTCCTTCAGTCTTTTTTTCTACCACTATGCATTGGATGGGAAAGTCGAATTCAATCAAGCTTCAGGGTTTTTTTCGCGTTTCCTGTAGAAGCGTTCCAGCCTGATGACCAAATATCAGGAACCCAGTTGGGGTTCCCACTTGGTCGTTAACCTGACAGCTTAAGATGAGGCACGTGTCCAAGTAGTAGTATAATAGTCTCAGCGTGTGTTGCTTTTAATCTTTCTCCTTTAACTGTGCCCTTTACGCAGAGGGTCATTAAGGAAGCTGATGTAGGTGGAGAGAGGGAGGGCTTCAAATGACGCCATTATTTTGCCGGGACGCCTCTGAGTTTTTCCTGGAAATAGTTTGCATATTTTTGTGTTTTATAAACTCCCGTCAGCTTCTTCGAATACTCGCCAGGCCATTAAATTAGTACATAGTTGAATTCGTATGGAGACACTTTAATCTGGTCGTTCCTCAGCTGCAGCAGGTTGTGGGCGGACGACGTGTCAGGTGTTGTTGGTTGTGTTTACTTCAGATAACTCAATTTGTTCAGGCGTCGTGTCCACTCCCGTTCTCTAGTTTTTTTCATTTCACCCAAGACTTTGTTATCCACGCTCTCCCTGTTTCCACCCTGAGATATAATGTGCATGCGGTCTTCTCTTTTTCGGTCTCCCTGTGGTACCTTTTCTGCAGCTCCTGGCGACCTCTCGACCGAAGTCAGTTCTGGCCAATGGTCCTAATGTAAGGGTACGAAATGTCAAATGGGTAAAAAGTCCTACCCAAAGCTCGTTTCGCTTGCACGTTCCACTTGGATGACCATCCTAGTCTCCCTCTCCTTTGTTGGATCTCCTTCCAGCATATATATAAGGGAATTTTGACAGAAATATGGGAAGATTGCTGCAACGCAGTCTTTTGTTTATTCTGACTTCAGTCGGCCAGAGACCTCAAACATGTGCACACACCGCAGCGCAACAACAAACCGTCATACATCTGTGCTTTACTACACGATAAATCCCGCCTGCAGACCGTCTGCGCTGCCTGCAGATGTTAGTGTTTTCGGCTCCGAATGCCGGTCAATGTTATAATTGGCTGACTGAAGTAGGAATAAGTTCATATCTCTCGATGAAACGGCCTGTTCATTTGCGTTCACCATCCCTTTGCCGATTTGACTCCGAATTTTGAAGCACATGATCGTGCCTGTGCGATGCACTAGGGGGTATGTGAGCCACCCAGGCATGCATAGGCACTCATGGGTGATTATAATAAATTCGGAAATCTAGCTACCCTCAATTCACAATTCCCTATCAGTGGTAGATGGCACTCAGCCATTGTCGGTGGGTCCTGGTGGCGCGCTATGGCTACCACCTCAGTTGTCGAGTCAGTCTAGAGGGGCGAAACGGGTGACCGACATGTTCACTCCCAACTCTGCTTATGAAGACTAGTTTCTGCGGGTCGGAATGGCGAGACAACCACTCAGTCCTTTGCTGCTTTTTTATTTTCTCGGAAATTAACCGCGAACTTGGAGTAGGTCGGTATATGATAAGGTCTTTAGGTACAGACCGAGAATTTTATGCATGAATATTTGGGCCAAAGTCCATCAGCCGCAGCGGGCAGCCGCGTAATATTCATTAACTGCCGTCAGTCAGCTAGTAGTATATCTTTGAGTTACAACATACTATAGTAGCAGCACAGGTACTCGCTAAAAGCCCAGACCCGCGTGCATCGCCGATATTCTGCCGCTGCATGGCCCAGCCGCAAGGGGTTCGGCTGTTCAGTGGATCTCACAGCACTCCGTTGATGATCAGGAGGGCAAGACAACTCAATCAAAACAATATTAGAACTGGTAGACAAGATTGAGCCACCATTGCGTAGCTTGTCTCTGTCCTAAATCACATACAGCTACAAGTGTGCACTATCCCTAAATAAATACGATAGCAAAGAAGATCTACATCAATAAAATGATTTTTACAAGCATGATGCCGATTCCACGGGGATATTCATATGACCCACTGGAACAGGACCCCAAACACATCTTTAGCTCAGGCTTCTGAGGAAGTTAGGCAGTGTGTGTGTGGTGAGGACGATGCAAAATGTAATAGCTTTTGTTACTATGTCAATTTTCGTGCGCGCCAAAGAAGAGCGTTTAAATCTCGTTCCGGAGACATTTATGCTGCTATGTTTGTGGCTGAAACTTCATGTAAAGTGGACCAGATGAGAGGGGAGACGCCGACCTGAAATTGTCGCATTACGTGATATTAAATAAGGAAACTTAACATCATTTTGCGCCTCAATTTGACCTTCATCACCCAGTTTGCGGCAGCAAGTTGAAAAAAGCTACTGGAGGCATCAAAAACACCACAAGAAGCAGTGCCGAGGTCTCTGGCGTCCAGGATTGTGATTCGCGCGCGGACCCGCTAACGGAAACCGAAGGCCCTTCCCGGCGTTTCTGTTGTTGACTGCACGTCGAGCTGGTCTCGTGGACTAATGCGGGGGCGAATGTGCCTCCTAGCTTTGGCTCGCACCCTAGTTGGATGTCAAGGCAACGTGTAACCAAATGAGAGGGCGAGCCTTACACGCGCACGTGCACTCAGACCACCCAAGACGGGAAAGGAAGACGTTCCGACTTGTCTGTGCAACCAGGACGGGCAGTGTCAACGTGGCAGTACCCCTCCTACTTTGGTCACTTACGCGGCCAGCCACGAATTGGTGTTCCCGCACCAACTCCGCGTGTT